GTCAGGTAAACAAACCGGCCCGGACCACCAGGGGCTTTCCCTGAACAAGCGGCGGACCGGCTTTGAGAAGCACTGGTTTACAGGAAGCAGTGGTTTAAGGTAAAACTGGTAAATTGGGGTATATTGCACCTTTGGGTGCAGACAATCTAGAATTTCTGAGAGTAACCAGTGTCAGGAGCTGGATATCACAGGAGAAAAATGCAAAGGGCCTTGGGGATTTGAGTGCACCTATTATTAACCTGCAAGGAGAAGACAGGGCTGGCACAGCCCAGAGAAGAGTGCTTGAGTTGTTGAAAGTCTGGAGGTGTCAGGGAGCTGACACCCAGCAAAACAAGAAAGATTCCCACTCCCTGGAGGCAGGGAGTAACAAGGTGACCCACAGTCCTGGCTATCATGAGAATAGTCACACCATTGAATACTCCAAAGTTAATGTTTTAAATTGCTTCCTATTATATTCCACATTGGGCCTCAATCCTCGTCCTCAAAAAGACTGTCTAAAATTTACATTTGTGATCTCCTGCCAAAGATGGATTTTTGTACCAAATGCGAGGTTTAAAAAAAAAGCCACGATTTGGACAGTTACAACACAGACTTTTCAATTGTTAAAGTTGACCTTTGTGAACATCATCCCTCAAACTGTCTAAAATCAACTGTTTTATTTATCTGTCCCAAAAGGCAATTAGTACTTTGAACATTTTTCCCGGAAGGGTGGTGAGTTACTTTGGGACTTGCTCACTATGATCATGTGAAATAGTCTCTCAGTGGAGCTTGTAAACTCTGCACGGTCTCAATGTTTATGAACACCCTGTTGCCTGAGGACTTAACTCAGAAACCAGACTGGATACGATCAAGGATTTTATGACTGTCTGCAGTTCCACATCTTTGCAGCTCCACTACTACAGCTGTAAGGAAGGAGGAGGAGTGCAACAGGTATGCTTCTATGGCTCCCTGGGTCACCTGGGGAGTGAAGATTAGCTTAGTGAGTCTCGTCTTGTCTTCTCTTCCCCCAAACTTAGCAAGACCCACTTGATCATCTTCACTCCTCTGGGTGATCCTGGGAAGTGAAAGTGTTGGCTGATTAACAAATTTAAGGAATACTGACATTGATAATTCAATAACTTAAATAAACTATGAAGATTCTTTGACCAAAAAAAGCCTTAAAGTGATAAATGATGGTAAATATAATATATGTATACACAATGAAATCTTGTTATAACATTATAGTTATAACGCCTTTTAAAGTTTGAATTTCCTAAGATCCAGAAAAACTTAACATCCACTCTCCAGATATCCAAGAATGACCATTTTACTTAGCTATCACCAAGTAACCATACCTCATCCACCTTTCCAATATGGACCATAAACCTTCATTACCCATACATTAAGTTCAGGTCCATGACTACATATAACCAATAGTCCCAAAGACGCACTGTCCCTCACTTCAACACCAACAGCTAGTTTCTTACCTTCCATAAACATTTTCTACAATTCCAGTATAAAAGGCAGCCCAATAGATTTCCATCTACCCCAAAAATGCAGTTGCTAGAAAACTCCACAATATTTCAATATACCTTCCCCTTCCCACTCACACTGCAATTCATATATATAGCCAATTTACACAGTAGGTATGTCTCTGCACCTTCTGAAATCACAAAAATGGCACTACAATATACTTATAACAAGCTTGGCAGGATTCAATATAAATTGTTAGTTGTCAGTAAACGTTTATTTCACCTGACACACAGAAATCAATGAAAAATATATCCATAGGTAACAGTTGGCAAACACAGCCTCTCCCTCACCTAGGACCTACAAGGATTCATGTCATGGGCCCTGCAATCATGCAGGCAGCTTTCTACAGTCCTGCTGTTATGGCCCCACCCCTAGGGGTATAGAAGCTGTTCCCAGGCAGGAACCGCTCAGCAGCTGGGTTGGCCTCTCCTGCAGCTGGGGGCTAGTCGTCATGGCTCTAGCCAGCAACCTCTGCTCTCCCTACCGGGATCATAGCTTTCTCTGCACCATTCGCCTGCAGGGATCCAGTGTCACTGGCTCCACGGGGAGCCCTCTGCAGCTCTGTTGTCATAGCCCTGCTCTCTCACTCACTGGCAGGCAGCAGGGCTCTCCCCAGCAAGAGCTCTTCAGCAGCGGTGTGGCCTTCTCTACAGCAGGGGGCTCATCCTCCTCCTTACATCCCTGGACAGGGATCTCTGCTCCCTGGGCCAAGACCGCGGACCCCCCTACACCTTCTACCTGGGTCTCTCCGACCCCTCAGCCACATAAGGAGCCCCCTGCAGCCCTGCTCTAGCCCTAACCCTAAGGCTCCCCTTAATTTCCCACAACTGGGACAAATGAAAATTGTTTAATAAAAATTGATATTAATAGTCAAAACTTCAAAACAATAAAAATCAAATTCTGCCAAGTCTGCTTATATACATTCAGTTCACTGGTCAAGCATCATGAGGAGCATGGACACTACATCAAAGGCAAACTTATGTGCAGATCCTTAACTATGAAGATCTTGACTTCAGTTATTAGAATGTCTTTAATCAATACTGTATTTTTGAAATTTAATCTCATTTCTTTAGGAATTATCAACTGATTTCTTGACGCTAATGCTTTCCAAGATTAAGAAACAAATGCAGTGTACAACCTAAGATTTAAAAAATTAAAGGAATAATTCATTGTTGTTATTTTAAAGCTAGAGAAGTGGAGGCACTAGATTACAATTTTGAAACATGAACCTAAATTTTAATGAAGTAACTATATTTGGTACAGTGTTTAAAACCCAAAATTAATTGCACGTAAGTTTATACCAAAATGTACAACTTAAGTACTTTTTATACAACAGTTGACGTATCTCCCACTGGTTCTTACCCACGAAAGCTTATGCTCCCAATACTTCTGTTAGTCTTAAAGGTGCCACAGGACCCTCTGTTGCTTTTTACTTCATAAGACTCCTGAATTCAGGATTCTGTATTTTTCCCTACAATAGTTGCAGACATCAAAAACATCTAAATAAGTTTAATGAATGTCAATTCCTTGCTCCATTTAGTTGCTTGCAATATTAAATGTTGCAGGGGAACCTGCAACTTGAAACCGGATGTTAAGGGTGAGCTGAAAAGCTTTTAACATGCTTAAGACGCTACACCTCTTAAATACTATAAAACTGTGAGGCTTAATATTTCAGAGATGTTATTTTTTGAATACTTCAAATTCCTAGAAAACAAAGAGTGCCTTTCTAGTCTTATACTGTACCTGTAGGGTGGAACTGTACAAACTCTAAGTCCTGGCAAGGAAGGCCAGCTCGTGTGACCATAGCTGTGCCATCACCTGTGCTGGTATGAGCAGATGTGCAACTGAAGAAGGTGCGGCCATACCCACTAGAGAAAACATTTCAAAAATTAAAATTTGTCTGCAATATTTTCCTTAAGAAATCAGTAGAGAATCAGTAAGATTTCATTAGGATGTTTAGCTTATTTTCTGCGCTTTGTGCAACAGCAGATTTACAATTCAACTAAAGCAGAGGACTTTCTGCATAGCATTCAGTCAGCCACTGTACTCATTTATCACACATATTAAGCTTCTCGCTAATTTAAATTTAACCTAATGTGAACAAAATTGATAGGCTGTCTGCTGTGCAACTTGACCAAGTGGAGGATCATCTAGCTCAACTAATATCTGAAAAATAACTTGAGGCTAGTAGGTGAAAGAGGAATAGCACCACACTTCCTCTAGAATTGCTAACCAGGGTTCCTTTCAAAAGTTGTCAGTGGAATTATGTCCCACTAATGGGGTCAATTTTTTGAGAGAGGAATCATGTGGCATTTTCCCCTCATACACACATTGTTTTACTTTGGGCCAGTGATTTGGCTCTCCTCAATTAAATACCAGAACTGTGGTTTTTTTTCTGAAAACGGTGCCTTTCTTCATGCAGAGTTCTTTCAGGAAGATAAGTTCTTTCTCCTCTGTTTCTTATTTCCATGACACTACCTCAAGTACACAAATTTAATGAGACTAGTGCTGTTAGCAACTTCTGGCAGGAACAGCATACTACAATGCCCAAGGGAGATAAAAATAATGTAAAACCAGGATTGTACATATAAAGGTGCAATTTCCACAGCTTGAAATAAAGTTTAGACAAAATTTCCAAACTCGATTGCGTAAATTCTGGCAACTAAATTCATCCCACCCAAGGTAAAAAAGTGTCTTGATTTTGCAGAGGTTCTGAGCATATGAAGCTCCTATTGACTTTAACAGGATTGGAATTGCTCAATATCTCTGAAAAAAATCAATTCACTTATTTAGGGACCTAATTTAAGGCACCCACATTATGCAACCACCAAACACGAAGTGTGCTTCTCTGCACAAACTCAGTATTATTCCATTTATTCTAGAGTTGCTGATCTAAACCTAACAAGCAGATAAAAGACTAACACAGAAGCAGAAGAGGGCAGGACCGACAAAAGAACAGAGAGGATCAGTTTACTCAAAATTAGGATCACATCATTTTTGCACCAAAATTACATGGTTCACCACAATTCGTCTTTTAGTGATCCACGAGGTTTCTGTTTGTATTTTCTGAATATATTTTTACACACCGGGAGCAGCTACACTTTAGGTTTTTGTTTTTTTTTAAACTTCAGCATAATTTTATAGCACATTACCCAGTGGCAATAACAGTGTTCTTTGCTCTTAAACGATGTATTGAGCCATCTTCTATGCAAAGTGCAATAACTCCACGACATTCTCCATTTTCCATCAGGAGGTCCAAGGCAAAATACTCAACAAAATAGCTGGTATCATATCTTAGGGACTAGAAAAGAAAACATTTTAGTTAAGGTACATGCAAAAGCTAAACAATTTTTTTCCCCACAGCCTCGTTAAAAAGTGCTTAGTTACATAAGAATAAAATCAGACTCAGTTCTCATGGAAACTATTATCCAGATAAGCCTGTATGCAAAAAGTCTGCGGCTCTTTTAGGATAATAGTGTTCTAGAAAATACAGAATGTTTAGATTGGACAGGCCATGTTTCATTACCAAACCATTTAAAGGAATAGTCCCTCATCAAATTTGTCTGAAAATGTTGTACTTATCATTGGTATAAGTAACAACGAAGGTAGATGAGAAAAATTCCATGTTTCAGTTTACTCTGTGTGGTTGACAACACTTGGTACATGGCGAGTCTCACTTCCTGATCTCTTTCAGTTCCTGTCCCATGCACTAGCCTATTACCCCTCAAATTACCCCGGGGAAAGCTCACTTCACACTTCTTCAAGCACTATAATAGGGTGTTAACAAGACCAAAGAGTACCTGCAGCTGGGCAAGTGGACTATGGGCATTTCCTTCATCTTGGAAGAAGCAGATAGCACCTAAAAGCAAGTGCCCTATCTCTCTTCAGCCCCCATACATTTATCTATATTATGGTTCCACATACAGGCTTCATTCAGGATAGAGAGGAACAATTAGCTAAGCCTCTGTAAAGAGTGCATAAAGTACATTGGTTGTTAAGTCCTTACTGAAATTAGGTCTAAGGGCCACTTACTAGTTCTTAATACTCTGGATATTTGTTCATCTTTTATGGCCTTGCACTAGGAGATGGACAGGACCTATTAACTAGAGCTGTGGTCACCAGTAGAGGCTGATGAGACAAGCTCAGGCAGCTTGGTGGTCGCATTTTTGCATTGCCAGAACCACACCTACCCTCCAAGTTTCCCATACTTGCTGTGAGGGTGGATGGAGGCTGATCTTACTTGCTACCTCCCTGTTGGGGTGCTCTGTCACTCTGGCCCAGTTTTTTCTTGGCCCATGAGAAGGTCTAGATGGAACTCTTCCTGGGACTGGCCAAGGGGTGGGTGAGTGGTTGTGGCGGGAGGGGCAATAAGTCAGTGCGTCATGGCACAGCAGCAAAAGGAAGAGAGTGCTTCCTCTGGCCACAAAATTTGCAGAGCTTACTATCTATGCATTCTCTCCAGGAAGAAGTGCAGGAAAAGCAGATTCTTTTTTCAGCCTTCTTCTGTTTCTGTCACGCTGATATCAAGCAGAAGCATGCCATGGGAAAAAAGGAGGTCTGGGATCAAGATTAGGAATTCTCCTGGATTCCTTGCTGACTCTAAACTCTCATATAGCAGAGCCCACATGTTAACAGCACTATTAATTTTAACAAGTTTTTTAAATGCCTACAGTAGCCATTATTTAAAAACAAAAGTCAAGCTCTGTTTCCCATTTCACAGTTTCTTACCCTGCCATACAGGGTATGCAACAGTGAGTGTCCTGTCCTGTCCGCGACACAACAGCATCGATGAGCCTGTCCCCCTTTCCCAAACTGAAGGCTCTGTCCACCAAAGGCACGCTGATAGATCTTCCCTTCTTCTGTTCTGCTAAATGGCATTCCATAATTTTCCAGCTGTTGAGCCCAAACAAAGTATTAGAGATATAGCTGTGGACTTCAACAACAGGCAAGTTACTGTTAGGGATGTAAAATGTTAACCAGTTAATTGATAAGCATTAGTCTTACCAGTTAACCTGCCTTAACTGTTAACCTGTGGGCCAGCCAGCTGGCCTAGCCACACCAGCCCTTTAATCAGTTAACTGTTTTATTAATATTTTTTAATACTTTAAACGGTTAACTTTTTAAACAATATTTACATCTCTAGTTACTGTTATGGTTGCTTTGTAACACTAATAAACCTATCACCCACCCTCAAGAAGGCAACAAAGAAAGGAGTTTCTCTTTATACAAAGTTTACTATTCCAGTCTAATATCTGTATCATTAAAATGTCACTATGGATACTGATTTGTGTTGCAGATAATTATAATTCAAATAAACTTCAATATGAATAATTTCACCTCTACAACTGCAGCAGGTGCCTCCTCAGTCATGTAATGAATGGCATCCTGGTCTCCCAGCCAATCAGATCCTTTCACGGTGTCATAAAAGTGCCATCTCCAGTTATCTTCCTCCATGTTTCCCAAAGCAGCATTGATCCCTCCCTGAAAATGAAAAATAGATTTCCCCAAAGTGACATTTGAAATGCATAATTTCAAAAGCCAGTTCATTTCTCAATCCTATTAAAACACACAATATTAAATAATATGTAAGACAACTGATAAATTACTTTAAAATCAAATTTATGTACTGTGCCATTTATACAGCATACAAACATGAAGAAACGGTGTAACCTCAAACACATATCTCTTTCACCAAAAGAAGTTAGTTTAATAAGAGCTATTCCTTAACCCACCTTGTCTCTCATTTATACAGTAGAAATTATGAGTCTTTATCAACTTCGCAATGGTTAACATCTCATTCCTTTTAGGGTAAAACATTTTGTACAGCAGAATAAATTACAACATTGTACACACTTAAACAACAACTGAAATCATAAAATGGAGTGGCATGTTAATACAACAAAAAATAATAAAGCCATAGAATAAAAGTCAAACATATACAATTTTCCTAAACTGTTTTACTTAGATCCTAACGTCCATTTTTACTAATCATAACGTGGGACTGAAATTCAGTCAACTTATGAATCATAATACTCTATACATAAAATTTGTGTTACGAAAATATCAGTATTTTTAATATCAAAATAATTATATTTAAATTCTTACCTGTGCAGCAACAGTATGGGATCTGGTAGGGAACAGCTTTGTAACACATGCTGTATTAAATCCAGCCTCCGACAAACCAAATGCAGCCCGCAAACCTGCCCCACCAGCACCCACAACGACAGCATCAAATTCATGGTCCACTACTGGATATTGTGTAGAAATCTGAGGAGAAAGATTACTGAATTAAGATCATAAGTCAAATGATTATAGCTCAAGCAGTGTCAGTTTAACTACTTTATGCATTTTTTTTAATGTATACTGGAGGATATATAGCAAGTTTCTCAAACTGTGCATTATCACTGATTTTACCTGCATCACAAGCTTAGCATAGTGTAAATGAATCATTTAAGTAGGTTCTAGTCAATGCAGTATGTATTACTAAAGTCAACGCATGATCCATTTTAACGATTCATTGCCCCTACTGAAATGTTCTTCAACCAAAGAAAAAAAAAAAAAAAAAAAGGTATACATGAAACCAGAACTCTGATAATCCAGTTCTATTCTCTTCTTCCAAATTCCAGAAACATTAAGAATATACACTGAACCACCAGGAAGGAAGACTGTCTCATAGATAAATATGAACTTACCGAATCAGAAACTTTAGCAGATGCGTTCTTCTTTCCATAGACAGTAAAGTGAAAGTTACGTGCAAGAGCCTGGCAAGCTGCTGGCCACTGTTGAAACATGTTCAAAATTATGTAAAATGTTCTAGTTTACAAATGTTTTATGAGCCAGATCCCCAGAATTTCCAGTTATACAATGTCTAAAACAAATATGCTTTACTTCTGAATGTAATTTGTTATACATATCGCTAAAGAATATTGGATTCATATAATTTTAGGGTAATTTGTAGGGGAAAAGTCCTGCTTATTCCTAAATACAGGACGTGACAGAGACGAAATCCACCCAAGATTTTAAAAAAATAGAGTAAACTCTGCACAGCACAGCCTACAACACACACACTATTATAATTCCTGTGTTGACCCCCTACTTCTCTACCACACATACTTGTAGGAGCTGGATTTTATAATGTACTACAAGAATTAATGTATGATTTGATTTCATCCTGTCAGCCACCCTTTTTGAATAGCAGAAAGGAATGACAGACCAGAACAATCCTTATGACTGATTACGGTCACCCTTTTGTTTTAGGAGAAGTTATAATGTCTACTATGGTTTCCTATATGTATTACAAATTAGGCACTCTAGTTAAATATACATTTCATTTTAAGGTTTTAGTAAGTAAGAGACAGGATTCTCTATTGTGTCTATGTTAAGTAGATTAGAGGAACATTGAAGGCCTGGGTCTCAATGTAAATTGTCTTGGTTATTGATTGTAAAACTTAGCAAGGTTTAATTTGCAATGCTTTTTTGCCCGATATAAAATACTACTGTTTGTATTCTCAATCTGTTTGTGTGAATGAGGAAGGTATGCAGCAGGAAAAGATAAGGCGTGAAGGCCATTGTTATAGCCAGAGTCAAAGAAGAAGGAGTGAAGAGACTTAAAGGACATCAAAGAATCATCAATGCACATCCATAATGAAGGGCAGATTGATGACCCTGAGGTGAAGGCTGGCACCCCTAAGGACAATTGATTAAATCGGAACAAAGGACAGGATGACCCTCTCAGAGGCTATTGGAATGTTTACACCAATTAAGAAGTAACCGGTCACAAACTGACACAGCAAAATCCATAGGCTTCAACAAAGAAAAAAACCTATAAGAACAGGGTGCTTGGCCATGGGGCTTTGGGTTCGTCTCGCCACACTCCAGGAGCATCTGATCGCGACCGATAGAGCCCCGCTCCCCTCTGCAACCAATCTGGCTGGCCACTAGATTGATCCAGACTCTGGACTGGTAACTATAAACATCACTGCAGGACTATGTGTGTATGTATGTGTCTAAAAAGCATATGCCAACTGTTGTATTTTCAATAAATGCTGTGTATTTACCTTCCTCTATAAAGATTCCGTGTGCTTTGTATGAGCATAACATACTAACCAGCTAAAACAAGACCAATCTGCATATACTCTGACAGACAACTGTTTTTAAGCCTGGGGTAATATGAGAATGTTTTTGAGACCGAACAGTATGAAAAAAAAAAATCACAGCTATTTCACCTTTGTTAAGTAGTTTGGACTATTTTGTAATGTCATCTCAAACTGTTTTGTCTAGAGTCACCAAAATTGGTTTATTTTGTTGGCCACAGCAAGGCGTGAGACCTTTGGGAGGGTGGATGGTTATTTTTTAAATTATTCAATAATATGTTTTGTTTTTTTCCACAGGAGGAACCTGAACTCTTGAGGTATTATGCATATATTCTAACATACATAAGGTCTGTCCCAAGAAAGGGTGCCCAAGGTCAGGTGTAAGTGGAAGACTTGAGGAGCAGGGAGCGGCAAGTGTAGGACATGCCAATATCAGTAATCACAAATCTCCTTTTGTTACAAAGGTGAAGCATTTCAGATTTCAAGCAGTAATGCTCTCTATAGCTCTGCTCAGATTCCTATAAAAAGCAACAGAGGGTCCTGTGGCACCTTTAAGACTAACAGAAGTATTGGGAGCATAAGCTTTCGTGGGTAAGAACCTCACTTCTTCAGTTTGCATCTGAAGAAGTGAGGTTCTTACCCACGAAAGCTTATGCTCCCAATACTTCTGTTAGTCTTAAAGGTGCCACAGGACCCTCTGTTGCTTTTTACAGATTCAGACTAACACGGCTACCCCTCTGATACTCAGATTCCTATGTTTTCCACCTTCTAGAAGTAGTATTTTTGATTAACCAAAGCACCTCTACATCCTATACAGTCTCCACATGTGTCAGGTGTTTCCTTGGTGGAAATTCTACACTTCCCAAATTTGCAAATGATACAAACTTGAGAAGACGCACACACAAAGGAAGACAGAACTAATCTACAATGTGAACTGGAGAGGTTAGAGTAGCAGGAACTACAATGCAACAAAGATTTGGACTGATATTGTAAAATCATTTAAATGACTTAAAGGTTGACCTTTAAACAGATGTCATGACACAAACTTAAGGATAGGAGTGCTCCAGTGCCACTATAACATGCACCCTATACAAGAAAGGTAAGATACTGATACCAGAGGTAAGAATCGTAAAAGAAATATTTTTAAAGAAGATTCAAGGTCATCAAAAGGCATTCAGAAAAAGATTTTTATGGGGATGAACTTTGGAACTCTCCCATTAGTCACTGCACTTTTTTAGTATCATTAACTAGCTATATGCTAATGAACTAGATGAAAGGTTTCTAATTCCTTGGCTATAAGATGGTCATTTAGGTTTGGAAGAGTGAAGCAACTAAAGTGAGCTTTACCAAACCAAAGAAAAAGAATAGCACAAATACCTAGTATCTTGAACAAAGACTGGAACCAACTAGAAGTGAAAGCAAGTCAGTAACAACGATGGAGATGTTTTATAATGTGGACTAGTTTCCATTGCAAAACAGAGTGAGATCAAACTCATTTCCACTGGAAGCCTACAGAAGAATGGGCATCCTGATCGCTGATGAAAGAGAGCTACTCCATTAGTCACTATACAATTATCCTCTTAATCACTGTCTTTTAGAATAGATTTTAATTTTTTTTTTAAAGAATAGCAAAGGAATATTTCATTTGCAAAATGTACTAGGATACACTGAAAACAGGACCCAGTGGAAAATGTTTCCAGTATTGTTGTAGCTGTGTTGGTCCCAGGATAGGAAAGAAACCTGGTGGGTGACAAGATATCTTTTATTGGACCCACTTCTGTTGGTGAAAGAGAGAAGCTGTCGAGCTACACCGAGCTCTTCTTCAGGGCCAGGTCTACACTACAGACCTATGTTGGTATAAATACGCTGGTCAGGGGTGTGGGAAAAAAAAAAAAAAAACCTGTGTAGACAGCACTACATCAGTGGGAGAGCTTCTCCCCTCAACACAGATACTAGCTCTCAGGGATGTAGATTAACTACACCACTGAGAGAAGCTCTCACGTTGGCACAGTAGCATCTTCACTAAAGTGCTACAACGGCACAGTTGCGCCACTGTACGTGGGCAAGATACTCAGGGTAAGTCTACAGTAAAAATGCTGCATTGGTGCAGCTGCATAGCCACTGTAGCAATTTAATGAAGATGCTCTACGCTGAGCCAAGAGGTGGTAGCTATGTCAGTGGGAGAAGCTCTCTAGCGCTGTAGTGCTGTCTATACAGAGGTTAGCTCGATACTACATAGCTGAGGGGTGTAAATTGTTCACACCCCTGAGCAACATAGTTATAGGGATATAGGTCTGTATTGTAGACCAGAATTCAGATTGTCATAGCTGAATACAAAGTGGCAAGGATTGTTAAGCATAAAGAGTTAACACATGTTGTAAGAAACCATTCAAAATGAAATGGCAGTTAACACCTCTGCAGTCACAGGACAAAGCTGGTCCAATAAAAGGTATTACCTTACCTGTCTCTCTCTCTCTCTGTGTAAAATGCATAGAGCAGCAGTTTTCTTGGCTCCAAAACCTAGCTTCAGATATATAGTTATATTGCAGTATTCCACTATATTTTACTGTGTACTTTTATTTGCTTAGATAAAAGATAACATAACTTTACCTTTTATTGCTCAGAGTGATTGATAGCACTGCTTTACTGCGCAGAAAGAAAACTCATAACTGGCAAACAAGCAATTCCAAGCAGTTTATTTCTTGCTTTGTTTTACTAAAGGTGACAAGCAAATATTTTTGAAGACTCCACCAACTATAAAATGTATTAACCACCTAAAACACAGGAGGAAGTTAACTGACCTATTTTCCTTTTTTTATAGGTTTTAACACCCAAACCAATGAACTGTAACTACATGACATCCCAACACAAGCTTCTGCCTCAGAATCAGGGTCTTAGTTGACAACATAATATCCAACATGGAAGTCTAGGGCAGGCTGGAAAGTCTGAATCCTGATGTTCAAGAAAAACCCACAATACTGTGCAGTTTTGAAACATTGAATATCCTTATTTTACAGAAACACTTTGCTACATGACACAGTAATTAAGTGCATTCTACAGTACAAAATTAAGCCAACCTAATTTACGTCAGCATACAGCCATCATGCTAATTACATTGCCTGTGCTTATCTACACTTTGCTCATACCAATGGTGCGCATGCTCACCAAGAGCGCTTACACCAATTAACTGTCATCGTGAGATGGCTTCTGAAAGCCAGCAACAGTCGATGCAAGTAACCCAGTGTCTACACCAGGGGTAGGCAACCTATGGCACGCATGCCGAAGGCAGCACGCGAGCTGATTTTCAGTGGCACTCTCAGTACCCAGGTCCTGGCCACCTGTCCAGGGGCTCTGCATTTTAATTTTATTTTAAATGAAGCTTCTTAAACATTTTAAAAACCTTGTTTACTTTACATACAATAGTTTTGTTATATATTATAGACTTATAGAAAGAGACTTTCTAAAAACGTTAAATGTATTACTGGCACGCAAAACCTTAAATTAAAGTGAATAAATGAAGACTCGGCACACCACTTCTGAAAGGTTGCCAACCCCTGGTCTACACTGACACTGTGTTGACCTAACTACATTGACATTGATTCTATGGCTCTCATGGAGGTGGAATTAAGGCAGAGTAGCAGGTGACTTATGTCAGTGGGATCAAAATTTTAGGCTTTGTTTACACGGGAACTTTGTTGGCAAATCTTTTGTCGTTCGGGGTGTTAAAACACCCCCCCCCCCCCCGAACAACAAAAGTTTTACCGACAAAAAGTGCTGGTGTGAACAGCGCTTTGTCGGCAGGAGAGCGCTCCTGCCGACAAACAGCAGCTACGGTGCGCGCCTTTTAGTGGCACGGCTTGGCTGTAGTAGCACAGCCGTGTCATTAAAAGCTGCGTAGTGTAGTAGATGCTTATATAGTTAGGTCGACGTAAGCTGCCTTGACATCTACCTAATTCTGTAGTGTAGACCAGGCCTAGGTTTTGAGTCAATTATGCGCCAATTATCTCACACTGTAGTATTTGGAACTTTTAGTTTGCATTTCCAAAAGTAGGTAGATTTTCAAACTATTTGCAAGTCAATACAATCCTAACCACTGTGGGGACCTTCCATCTGTACAGTTTGCAAACATTCATAATATTTTTCCCTGAATTAGGAGGCTCTAGAAATGGGATAACAAAATTAACTGTTTAGCAAGTTTGTTTTCAACATTTTCCTGTTCATCAGAACTGCTGAAGCTCATATTTCTGAATACAAATTATAGCTGCGGTGGTGTTCCTCCTATTTAAAATGCAAAATGTATGTATGAACATTTCTGCAGTATATTCTCTGGGGTCTTTGTTCAGAAACATGCTGCACAGAAGCCTACAGAACAAGGATGAAGATCTCATCAGAATATCTCACTTCATATTCACTGGCTGCACAAACCCTGAGTTAGTGGACAGTACAAATTATGAAACCTTTGTGTACCATACATACAACTAGAAATGGGGGGTATGACTATACAGCAAAGAAAAACCTGCGACTGGCTCATGCCAGCCGCAGGTGTCTAGTTGCTGTGTAGACATACCTGGGGAATACTCAGGAAAAGTGATAATCAGTTCTATGAGTTATATTTGCATACTAGTTCTGAAGTAGGTAAGTATTATCAATATGCATTTTTCACCACACCTAATACTTCAATGTCCCACGAATTTTTTGTTTTGGCCATTTTCAAAATTAACCTATGTAAAGTTTCATTTATAACCAAATAAATTTAACAAATGAAAAGGTATGTAAAAACAAGAGCATTTAGTTACTCAATTGTGATTTTAAGACATACAGTAACCTTTTATATAACAGAACATTATACAACACACTCTAAGCATCCAATTTACTGTACTAACATTCTTTATTATTTTTGGCTCCCTTGATATTATGTAAATTCAAAACAGCAGGGCTCCAACAACTAAAGAAAGGTAGGCAAGGCTTCAAAAATGTTTTATTATTCCTGTTTGCTTAAACACTACAATTCAATCTTTCCCCCTCTTCTAGCAAGCTTCTTTCCCTCCTTCTCCCAACAGGTGTGAGGACAGTCTTCCTCACTGCCTGTTCCACGCAATGGTAGAAGTTGCTGCCCCTGCTCCTATACAGGAGACTTTTTCCTCCCAGCTTGTCCTTTGCACTCTGAGCTAGGGACTGAGATGCTGTCAAGCCGAGGAAGGGGACAAGCTGAAAGGCAGAATGCCCCCATATAGCTGAGAAAAAGGACTCTGCTTAACCAGCCTAACTCCTCAGCAATAACTAGGAAAGCATCCTCCAGCAACAGGCAGGAAACATATGTCCTGTTCTAACACATGCCCTTGCCTTTCTTTTTTTGCGCGCGTTCCTCTGCAGCCAGGCAGAAAGGCATGGGGAGTGACTCGTAGGCCAGCCTGCTTCTCTTTATTCTATCTCTAAAGTCAAAATTTTGGAGTTCCATAAAATTCAGTGGAAAATGTTATGGACCACTACATTAAGACACATATTTCCTTCCTATTTATTTCATTCTTTCATATAAAAGCTTTAAAAATCAATGCATTCAAGTCACTGGCTCATTTTCAATATTTCTCACTTATGTCCATCAGTTCTTTTCAATATTAGTTTTGAGTGAGTATAAAAGTTTTGGCTGCAATAGGAAAATTGCAAAGCAAAACTGAAACTGTAATTAAGCACATATCCCTATGCAAAATGGCTCCACTATTTAGGCTGTGGCAGAACCTAAGTCCAGAAATAAGTTTTAGCCTTTTTTAAATCAGTTTTTCCCCTTTGGAAATCATCTCTGTACTTCTTTGTTCTTCTTGTTCAGAATGCAAAATTCCAAGAACCACAACTGTCACTGAAATAAATATTATTTATGATACCACAGAATGACATGTTTTGAAACATCTTCAGTTAACCAGAGTATCTAGAAACTTTCGGAGCAGAAAACAATTTAAGAAAAGTTAGATGAAGCTATTTGTCACTCAACAGCCTTTCCTACCCACCCACCCCCCAATCTGGCTAGTGGAGACGCAGCAGGGTCCTGTGGTCAGGGCATAGGCCTGGGAGCTAGGAGACCTTACACAAGTCATTTTTCTCTGTGCCTCAATATCCCCACCGCCCTGTTTATTTAGATTGTTAATCTGTCTTGGCAGGGACTGTATCTCATGTTGTTAGTTACTGTTCCTAGCACATAAAGGGGTCCCAATCCTACTTAGAGCCTCTAGGTACTACTGTAATAAATAGTAATAGTGCGGTCATTCACCACAGAAGTTTCTACTAATGAAAGGGCTAGTTACCCTGCCTTTGTTAATTTCAGTGTGACAATGGAGTAAAAATAAGACAAGAACTAGCTCACTGCAGGTGGAGGAAAGAAAGTGAGGGGGGAACGAGAAGCATCAAGTGTAGTTTCAGGGGAGCTGGGATGCACATTATCTGTTTTCATATATAATGCCTTGCTTTATCTGCTCATAGACCAGTTATTATAAACCCACTCCAAACACTTTAAATGTATGTAACTTTCAAATATTTGTTCATAGAAAAATACTATTAATTCATTTAAAGCAACTGATGAGATACTCTATACTCCAATAAAACCTCATACACATTGCCTTTTTGTTTAATAAAACACCAAGCTATTTAAAAGAGCCAGGCCATGTTGGTCTGCTTCAGGATACTGGAGTTTCTTTGAAAGCCTTTCTACTAACACACCATCAGGACTGCTGTATTCCTCTGCCCATTTTTTTAATAAGGCTGCTAAAAAAAAAAAAAGACACTGCTTCTCAAGAACTAAACTCCTGCCACTGAATCCTTGGTACCTGAGGTCAAATCCCAAGGAGATACCACAGGAACAGAGTGTACAGGCACACAGGCCTTTGAAATTAAGAACCTTAGAGGTGTCAATTGTCAACCTGCTCAGAGACAAAAGGGGTACTGGGGAGGCAGAAGGCCAGTGGACAGGACACCACGCTGCGGGCTGGGTTCTATGCCTGGCTCTGCCTCCCACCAGCTGGATGACCTTGGGCACGTCACTTCACCCCGCAGCGCCTCGCTGTTCTCCCCCACCCTTTGTCCATCTTGTTCGTGTCTATTCAGACTGGGGGCGGGCGGGCGGCGGGATGGGTGGCAGCTAATGCCAGTGTCAGCAGAGAGTGCTGGGCCAGCCCCTCTCGCTGCAAGGGCACCCGGAGGGGGAAAGGGGCTTTAACATCCCAGGTCTGATCTTCGGGCTAGGCTAGCTCAGGCACGAGGCACCCGCGGCAGCCCCGCCCCAGCAGCACAGCCACGACGGAGGAGGGGCCGAGCCGGCGGCCTCTTGCCCGCAGGGGAGGGGGGCTACAGGGGGAGCGGGGCAGCGCGTGGCTCCCCCCACCGCCGCGCGCGCGCGCTAGGCGAGCCGGTTAGACACATCTGCGAGGCCCCCCCGCGGACTGACCAGCTCCCGCCCCGGGAGACGCCAATCCAGACCCCACCCTTCTGCAGGGGGGGGGGGCTGGCTGCCCGCGAGGCGGGGCGCACTCACCGCTCCCGCCGGGGGTCGGAACAGCCGCTTCGCTAACCCCCGCGACGCCGCGCCAGCTGACGCCGCCATTTCGCCCTGTCCGGAGAGTCAGTCACTTACTGCGCATGCGTGGAGGCGGGGCTGGCCGCGCCGCTACTAGCGCGAGCCTCCGAGAGAGACCAATTGCCGGGGGAGGATAGCGTGACGCGTGACCCGGCTCTGAGCGTCTCGTGACGCGCCATCGCAGTACGGGGAGCGGGAAAAGTCTGCGGCTCACGCGGATGTTGTTCCCTTTTCCCCCTCCCGTTCCAATGGGCTGGTCCGGGGAGGTGGGGGCTGGACCTGCTAGCAGGTGAGGTATGTGGCGGCGGCTGCTCAGCTGGGCCTGGGGAGGTTTATGCGGTGTCGCCTCTTCCTCGGCCGGGCTGTGCGCGGGAAGCGCTGTTGAGCTTCTAGGCTGCGCCTCCAGCGCGTGAGGCTCTGGGTGAGTGCGGGGGCGCCAGGGGCTGCTCAGGCCCGTCGGACCCCGCGCGCGGATGGGTCTGGCCGTGGGGAGACTCTGAGCGCGCGGCCTGTCCAGCCCCGTCACTGGACCCGGCTCTGCCAAGTGCTGCTGAGGGGGGTCTGCGCCCGAACATGCTGCACGCAATAGTTTAAAATTCTGCAACTTTTATTTGTCAAATAAATGTGGCGGTTCCAGCATGGCCTTGGGGAGCCCAGGCCACTCACTGGCTGCACAGAGGTGGGAGCTCACGGTGCTGCTTCCCCCTCCCCCCCGACAGGTTTTCCCCCTCAGCTGCACCTAACCCTGACATAGCGCAAGGACGGGCCCTGCCCCAGAATCACCCCAGGTCCCTACCCCCCATGCCCATGTGAGCAGGCAGGATCCAAGTGTGGAGGGGCTTAGTGTAGTGGGATCCAGGTGTGGATTGAGAGAGCTCTGTGTGGGGCAGTCTGGGTGCGGGCGGCTCAATGGAGGATCTGGGTGCACAGGGTGTTCTGGGTGCAATGGTAATGGGACTCTGCAGGGGGGTCCAGGGGGTGGGGGCTCAGCAGGGAGATCTGGGTGTGGGGGAGATAGAGCTTGAAAGGAGGTGTCTGGGTTTTTGGAGGACTCAGTGGGGGGGTCCAAATGCGGGGTGGGGATCCAGATGCAACTGGTTGGGGCTTGGTAGGGTGGGAATCCAGGTGTGGGTGGCTTGTTGGGGTGGTGTAGGGGGAGGGGGCTCATCTGGGAGGTTATGGGGGTGGGGTGAGGGTCTGGGTATGAGGGGGTCTGGATGTACAGGGGTTGGGCAGATGCGGGAGAAGCTCCCTATGTAGGGATCCTTCCCCCTGCAGCTGAGGAGCGATGGACGCAGGAAGTGGGGGGAGAGAGAGGGGGAGAGTTTGCAGAGATTCCTGCAACTGGGGGAGAAATCTGGGGGAGCGGGTCTGACCAAGCCCTGATGCCGTGCTGGAGAAGAGGAAGTCTCGGCCTAGCTTGGAGTAGAGGCTGAGCCTAGGCAGGGTAGGAGCCACCAGCCAGGTCTTCCCCAGTCCCGCCCTCTGCCCTACAGTGATTTACCTCTCTGTGGCTGCCCTGGGCACCCGAAACATACAGTTTTGAAGGGCTACGTGACTGATCTTGTGGCTTCCCTTTGCTTTCCTGTCAGAAAGTCATTTTTCTGCGAGGAAGCAAAGAAATCTGCAGGGGACATAAATTTTGTGCATGTGCAGCGGCACAGAATTCCCCCAGGAGTAACCAAGGGACATGGGCGGCGCAGTGTAGCATGCGGGCCAATAGAAGGGCCCAGTGCTCCTGCTGCCCAGCACCACCCCAGCCCCGACTGCAGGAGGACTCACCGCAGAACAGCTCCTTTGGGGGCACTCAGGGCAGCCCCATGTCAGACTGTCCCCAGCTCCCTGGTTACAGTATAATAATATATGGAGATATACCTATCTCATAGAGTTGGAAGGGCCCTTGAAAGGTCATCAAGTCCAATCCCCTGTCTTCACTAGCAGGACCAAGTACTGTCCCTGACAGTTTTTTTTTTTTTTTTGCCCTGGATCCCTAAAGGGCCCCCTCAAGGATTGAGCTCATAACCCTGGGTTTAGCCGGCCACTGCTCAAACCACTGAGCTATCCCTCCCCACTCTGAGAGGGGGCCACCCCTGTTCAGACCCTTTCTCTGCCCCACGTCTCCCAGCTGAGCATTCTAACTCAGTGTCCTCTCAGCCTTTCCAGGCTATTGTACCCCTTTCAGGAGTCTGATTTGTCTTTCACCTCACTTAAAAAAACTACTTGGAAGTATTTTTATGCATCCAGCTAACACTTGGACTTCAAGTAGCCCACCCCTGGCAAGGGCAGAGCTCCCATCCCACTCCTCTCTGTGGGCTAGCACTGTGGTAGGCTCGCAGTGTCGAGGGCAGTCTGGGTTTGCAGTGATGGGGCCAAATCAGTACCTAGATGGGGCACAAGCATCTTAACACAATTAACAAATGCTTATACTCGGGGGGGTGGGGGAGAAGAATGTGAGGAGAGGTCCTAAATCCATCAGTTCTACCCAACTCTGTTATCACTGCCCAGTGCTAGAGCGAGAGCCCTTGAACTCCATTGTACTAAAGTCTTGCATATATGAGTTGCACCATAACGAACTTTGATTTGGAAAACCAAAATTATAGTTGATTGCAGCAGGGTTTTTTGCTCCTTTCATTTCTGTAAAGAAGAATTTGTTTTAGAATCAGACCCTGCCCCATATCATGAGACAAGGTCTGAAATATCTGAAGGACTGGCTTGTTGGTCTGAAGCTCTAAGAAAGGTGGTACCATCTCCATCATCACCAGCAAAACCTATTCTATACTTCTGCCTTATCAGAGAGTTCTGATTTCACCTATGATCACTTTAAATAAAGATGAAATATTCATATTTAAAAATCCTAATCTAGCAAATTAACTGGTTACTAAAGCAATCATTTTATTTTTAGGTCTAAAATTACTTTAATAAAGAAGCTGCAGTGTCCTATTTTCTAGGCAAGTGGCTAAGTTGTACCTAAGTCTGCTAAACTGATGGTAAGTAAATCTCTAAGTTCTGGGGCATCTTTCAGTTTTTTCTTGATATGCTACCATGCTAAAGTTCTTCCTTGTAAAGATTTTTTGGCATCACGATTAATTAACATAACAAAACATTGCTGGTATTTAAAAGTTGGCTTGTGCCAACACTTTTAGCCATGTTCACTTTCCATTGTAAGAAGGAAATATAGAATACTTTTTAAGTATCGTTGTGTTATAAGTATGGCATTTTAGAGGTCCTGAATGGCAGAAAAAATATTCTACAACCAATAGAACTTCCCTTTAAAAAAAATCTAATGTTTTAGAACAACCCTTCAACATGAATGATATTTGCTTTCTGATGTAATAAAAAATATGAATATATACAGTATTTGGTAATTGAGTTGTGGTGTAAACATCTGCTTAAACACATTTCAAAGCCCCTGAAACTCTGAAGATTTATTTTCTTTTTTTAACATGATTTTTTTTTTGTGTGGAAGTACTCGTTTTGGCACCTTTACAAGAGAGGACAACGACTCATCATATTTGTGTAACACGCAGCAGTGGAGGTGGGTAACTGCACAGCTTCTTTTATCAGATATGGACATTGGCAGTCCAGTTTTCAGTGGACATATTGACAAATTTTAGATTGTGTGGGCTTTGGGACAGGGATGATCTTTTTTTGTGTTTGTACAGCACCTAATACAGTAGGGTCCAGGACTAGGGCTCCTAGATGCTATAGTAATACAAATAATATAGTTGTGATCCATGTTTGACAATCTCCACAGAAATACATAGGTCTGAAATAGCATGGAGATGACCGTCTCTTTCCCCTTGATAATTCTGTACAATACAGTGGCCAGATTGGGTTAGTGCCTGTCTATTTGACTCCCACTGAGTCCACATCTTTCACAAGCAGTAAATTAACTGTCTTCAGCTGTATAAGCAATTCCTTCCACACTATTCTGCTTTAAATTGTATTTCCTGTTGTACCAGGAAACTCTCTGGACTGATTCATGAAGCACTGTAGATACAGCAGGTCGGACCTCATTGCTCCACAACCCCGCTTTTGTGTGGCTGATTAAAAAAGTGGCATTGCAATGGAGAGCCAAATGCAGCCCCGTTTTAAATAATTTTACCAATAGACAATTTTTTTTCTTTGCAGCAATTATTCCTGCAATACACATCTTACTTTCAACACTCTTAAAGGAAGAATCAGCTTTTTTTTTTTTGAAGGGAGGGTGGGGGAATAGTTGAAACTTTTGGTTTTATGAGAAGAAAGCAACTCAAAACTAACCAATAACCCAATCTGTTTGCCATCTAAAGGCAACTTTTATAGCATCTGGATTCATGCTTTTAGTTTTATTTATATGACTATAGTATGACAGGGTTCCCTGGGTGCAACCTGAACTTTGGGACTGCTGAGCCCCCAAACTGGGCCCCCTCTCACACTGTGATGTTGTTGGCAAGCTAAAACCTGTGGCAGGCACTGCACTTACACAAACATTCACAGGCACGGACACAACCAACCGAGTTACATGAATGCTCTCACTCACTCATGAGCCAACAACAGAGAGGCTCCAGCCAGTTCCCCCCTAGCTTCCCAGCCTTGTACCCCAGAACTGTACCATCTTGCCCTGGTTAGAAGCCTGACCGGTGTAAGTTCATTACCAAGTCCACCCCTCCTTCGATGTGGAGAGGATATACACTAGCCATTATAAACTGAGCTGAGATTTCCCAAGCACTTCAACCAAAACACACTGTTTTAAATAAAATATAAAACAGATTTATTAACTACAGAAAGATAGATTTTAAGTGATTATAAGTAGTAAGTGTAGAGATCAAAGTTGGTTTCCTAAGGAATAAAATAAATTCAAGTCTAAGTTCTATAAAGTAAACGGGGTTGGAATCAAGCAGTACCTCATCCTGAGAGATGGTACAAACAAAGTCTGAGAACTTCAATACACCGTCTGGAACTCTCCTCCAGCCCGGGACCACCCTCCTGCGTTCAAAGTCTTTGTCCTCCAGATGTGTTTCCAGAAGTTGAGTTGTGCGGGGAGTGAGGCCAAGTCATGATGTCACTTCCCCTTCTTTTATAGTTTCTTCCAGCTTGCTGGAAAGTTCTATGCTTGTGACGTGGGGGTCCACCGCCATTGGTCAAGCATTCTCCATTGTCTACAATGCTCTTTCTCAGAAGTCTGGGATGGTCACTGGGAGCGTAGATTCTCTTTAATGGGCCATCAGCATGTTTGGCTACTCCATTGCTTTACCTGAAAGACTGGTTGTGGGTGTTCCTAACCTCACAACATATTTCAGTAACATACACAGCAAAACTTCATAACCTCACATACAATGATAGCACAAACAATCCAACAGGATATTAATGTTCAACAGATCAAGACTTTTAAAGTGATGCCTCACAAGGCATTCTTTGTACAAAACATATCATAATTATATGATGGTGAATATGCAGGTTCCAGGGTGCTGCTTTGAGGAACAGAGTGCAAAATATAGTGTCCAGAGATCACCAATAGGACTGGGGCTTCATTATATTAGTTCTCTACCCCAAAGCACTTACAACACAAGACATTTTCAAGTTTTTAAAATTTACCAAAGTGCTAGTTATCACCACCTGCTCAACACCCTACGCATCATTAAATGGTTGGAGTTTTTATATGTGTTACACCAGCAATGGGACTCAAAGAACAGATACTGGCCTTATGGATTAGTTATTGTACTTGTTTCCATGCTTGAGGAGTGAAATTGGCTTTCTGAGGTGCTAGGCCCTTTGTCTACTGACTGGAAGTAATTTTATTATTAAAGAATAGATTGAGTAAGGTTAATAAACTTTAAGACCAGAAGAGTTCATTGTGATATCTAGTCTGACCACCAGTATGCATAACACAGGTAATAGAATGCTCAGTGGTTATGCACGGAGTCCAACAGCTTGTGTTGAACTAGCCTATACCTTAAAGACTCCAAGTAATAGAGAATGAACCACTTCCTTGGTAATTTGTTTCAGTGGTTAATTACCCTTACAGTTAACAATCCATCTCTTTAGTTCCAGTTTGATCCATAATCTAAAATAGAAATATTGAATCAAGTATTAGATGTGGTTTTGATAGGTGCACATGTCCATGTTACCTACTGCTATCAGCGCCCTCCCCTAATCATTGGTACCACTGACATGACTTTTTTTCCCCTATTAATCTAAAGGTGTCTCCATGAATAATTTAAATGATCCTCCAAACTGGAATATCCAGCCTAATCCAAGGGATAATGGTGGTGATGGCAACAAATGGAATTATGCTTTGTTGGTTCCAATGCTGGGATTGGCTGCATTTCGTAAGTAATAATTTTAATAATCAGATTTTTCTGATCAGGCCCAGAATTCTAGTGGAAATACAATGTCTTGCCATGTATGGGGGGGTCAGAACTGGCTGCTGAGTTCTCTGGAACCAGAAGGTTCGTGCAGCATTACATTGCTCCAGCAACCCCTCTTCTATCCAGCTGATTGAAGTGGCATTTCCACAATCCAGTGGAAAGCCAAATGCAGCCATCCTTTCTAGCTGGAGGAGGGTCATCTCAGAGCCTTTGAAGGAAGAGGAGAGAATTCGGTGAATAACTCTACTTGGGGGGGAAATAAAATCAGGTTCTACAAATATAAATATTCCATAGCCCATAATGTACTCCAGACTTGAGAGCAGGGAAGGGATGTGTGCTTAGGAGGACTGGTATGTGCAGGTAAAGGAAGGCTAATACATAAAAACACACATTTGTCTACACAAGCTAACTTACCTTTGTTCTTTTTTGGGGGGGAAATTGTAGGTTGGTACAGTGTTTCCCTTTCCCTCACTCAGCCTTTCTGCTCCTCCATAGTTTGCCTCTTTTAAGGGAAGTGGAAAGTTTTGTGTTTAAGGCATGTGAGTTGGAGGAAGGAGACCTCTGTTCTGTTCCTAATTCTGCCATAGAGTGAGTGACCCTGGGCAAGTCATTTAACCCCAGTGTTCCTCATTATTATCAGATAACACACTGCAATACTGTTAAGTGTTTATAGTCTAAGGACTTTGTCCAAAACCCCTTAAGCCAGTGGTTCTCAAACTTATTTGGTCAGGCCCCCCTTCTTTGTATCTGTAGTATTTTCCACTCCTCTCTCCCCCTCCTCCCCCAGTACATATATCTCCACCAGCTCTGAAGGCAGAGTGGAGAGCAGCGGCCGCTGGCTGGGTGCCCAGCCCTGAAGGTAGCGCCATGCCAGCAACAGCACAGAAGTAAAGGTGGCAATATGAAAAGTGATTTGTCAACATCACTTTTCACAGCAGACTTAGTGCCCCATTGCCAACCTTACTTCTGCACTGCTTACGCCTGGGGGGATTCTGTACCACTGCACATGCTCAGAATTTATGTCCCCTGCAGATTTCTTTGCTCCCCCGCAGAAAAATGGCTTTCTGATGGGGAAGCCACAAGCGCAGTTATGCGACCCTCCCCAGAAGTATGTTTCGAGTGGCCAGGGCAGCCAGCAGAGAGGTAAATCACAGTGGGGTGGGAGGTGGGACTGGGCAAGACCCAGCTGGTGGCTCTTACTCTGCACTGGGCTCAGCTGCTAGTCCCGGCTGGGTTGGTGAGGATGGGACGACTTCTTCCCCTGCACGGCGTCCAGGGCTGGGTCAGACCTACCCCCAGATTTCTCCCCCAGGTGTAGGAAGCTGTGCAAACCCCCCCCTCCACAGCTCTTCCTGCACCCATTGCTCCCCAGTTGCGGGAGAGGAATCTCTGTACAGGGAGCTGCTTCCCCATCTGCCCAACCCCCATGCATCTAGACCCCCTTATACTCAGACCCTCACCCCACCCCCCAACGAGCCCCTTTCCCCTACACCTGGACCACCCCAACGAGCTACCCATCCCTGCATTCCCAACCTACCAAGCCCCAACCAGCTGCACCTGGATCCCCACTCCAGTGAGCCCCACTCGCACAGCATCTGGACCCCCCCACGGAGCACCACACACCCAGACCCCCCCCTTTCGACCTCTATCCACCCCCACACCCAGATCCTCCTGCTGAGCCCCAATCCCCTTCACCTGGACCCCCCTGCAGAGTCCCATTACCATTGCACCCAGAACCCTCCAACAAGCCTCTTTGCATCCAGATCCCCTCCCCCCCAACCGGATCCCTCACTGAGCCACCCGCACCCAGATTGCCCAACAGAGAACCCTCTCAACCCACACCTGGATTCCCCCTCCACACTTGGATCCTGCCTTGCTGAGCCTGTTTGCCTACGCCGGGTGCACTTGGAACAGAGGTGGAGGGCCCTGGGCTGTTTCTAGGGCAGGTCCCATACTTGCACTGTATCAGGGATGGGTGCAGCCTCAGTGCTGAGAGTCGGTTTCCCGGGGGGAGCTGCAAAGTGATCTCCCACCTCTGTGTAGCCAATGGCCTGTGCTCCCCAATGCCATGCTGGAGCCTCCACATTTATTTGACAAATATAATTTGCAGAATTTTAAATATTGTGTGCAGAGCTCTTCTCCCTCCCCCCCCCGCCCCCAAAAGGCATATAGCTCATGCCTCCCTTCGAAGCGCGCCCCGTAGTTTGAGAACCACTGCCTTAAGCCATTGGATATGGGCTAGAAGTGACATGAATGGTAGGAAAAGAGGAATATAATTAAAATTGTTATTTATAAATACTGTATATATACATTTGTATTCTTTAAAAAAGTCTATTACCAGTTGTCCCTAAACCTAGCCATTGTTAACTAGCAGTTTTCGTCTAGGCATTGCCGCAGAGGTGAGCCTAGAGGAAGGATTTGAAGTAGGACAGCTTAGTAACCCCTAAGGATCAGTTCAGGGAAGACATTCCATGTATAAGAGCTGGGTGAGGAGGCTTGAGATATTGGTGAAGTGGATGATGTGTATGGGAGCCATGTTATAACATTTTTATGTTGTGCTTCAGAATATTTGAGTCAAATGTGATAGTGCCTAGAAACCCAAGTCAGAGACGGGGAGCCCCACCGACACAATGCTATCCCCTGCCCAAGTAGTTTGACTGTAATACTTATTTACCTGTGGTGAATAGCACTTATCTTGTATGTTTTCAGAATGCATAAAACTACAATGTGAAAAATTATCCAATAAATTGCTCTGTTTGTGGAAAACTTCAGTGTCTAGCTGTGTAAGAGTTCTAAGCAGCCCTGCACAGTAATTCACATTTGGTGACAGACCCTGCATTCTTTGAGTACTGTATTGCTTGACTGAGTGGTGGTTTTGAGTGCTCAAGGAATGCAGGATTATTCCTTCCATGCTTAAAATAACTTTTCTTTTTGGCTCTGTAAATTGATCAGAGTAAGGACAATAAATAGCTCAAAATACTCTTATGTTCCCTCAAAGTTAATCTATCATAGGTACACACATTATAGGAATGTTTCCTGTAACCCAAAATTGTTATTGATAATCTACTGTTGAGGCTACTGTGCTTTAATGAGTGTTGTAGAGACTTCTAAGTTAAAGTAATGTTACCAGTTTTTTCAAAATGTGTGCTATTTATATACTATGGATTTTAGGTTTTTTTTCTTTGTAAAAAAAGGATTTTTTTTTTTTTTTTTTTTTTTTTAAAATCCTGGATATCAAAGTAATATGAGCCTGAAACTGGAGAGTGCAGCGATCAGACTTAGAGCCTATGGCTAGAAAGATTTTCCTGGATCATCTAATCCATCCTCTTGGAATTATTGCAGGATTTTAAAAAGTGAGGTCTGTCAGACACTGAAATAACTTGTAAAGGAAGTTCCTGAGCCATCCACATCCGATTTCCTATATCGGAGATAATACTACCTCACAGAGGTTGTGTGATGCTCAAGTTCTTCAATATTTGTATTGTGATTTGAGATCCTGTTGTGGAAAGTTACAGGCAGAGTATTAAGGCAATTTTTCCCCTCAGTTCCTCTGCAGTCAGGGTTGCAAGTGGAATTTAACCAATACTTTAGTAAGCTCCATTCTGCAAGTGCACCATGCTGATGGAGCAGCATGTGACACATTAGCAAGGTGCCAACAAGCTGCGGGGGGACCCACAAAAGGTGGAGCTAGTACATCCATGGACTGGCTCTAAAGATATGTTATATTACTTTCAACAGCATAGTCGCACTGTTTCAGGTAACTCACTGAAGAAGAGAGGCAATGCTCTGTAGCTAGACCACAGAGAATACTGTATGCAGGATTTGGCAGGGAAGGAATGTGTCCAGATGAACCCTCTTTGAAAATGGAACTTAAAGGTAGCCTGCAAAAGGCTAAAAAATTGGGCTTGTGCCTTTTCTGTCTTTTGATGTACGAAGAAGGCCTGAGGTCCCCCGCTACACCAAGCAAATTGTTAATGTTAGAACTTCAAGGCCTGTCTAGGCTGGAAGCCCCTCCCGTGAAGACTAGAAAACTAGTGAAATGGTGATAGAGAGTGAAAACGTAGCAAGTGAAAGTGACTCCGACTTTTTAAAAACTTGTTTAACACCATTTTAACTGCAGTAACTAATAGCGTGAATAAAGAAAAACGTTGTTAAAATTCAGTACATTCAACTCTTAAGGTTAAAACTTACAGTAAATACCTTGGTACTTCCTTGAGATTCTCCAGTGCTAATAAGACTTGATGCTCCTGATATTTCTAAGGTTAAAAAAAAGTTAAAGCTGTCTTTAGTTTCTAAAAGAAAAAAAACCTTACATTTTTTTAATACATCAGAAGGAAGCAAAACAGGGCAAATTCCCTTAAGAAAGGGAAGTCACCTTTGCAGGTCACCCTTAATAAATAATCTCTGAAAAGGCAGGTAGAGAAATTTCTAAACTGCTTATTCTGGACCTCTGCCCAATGATCATCAGTTAGAATATTGTGATATAAACCTTTCATTTGTTTTAAACAAACTGAGTATGTGTAACTTAATCTTATTTTTACCTATAAGAGTGTAGCATAACAATAATTGCTGAACCTGAAAAAAATCCATCTCCTTACACTTCCTGAAACAGACAATATTTTTATGGATCCCTTTTACATCATGCATTGACCCAAAACATCATCTTTTTAAGACTAGCCATATTACTTACTCTGGTATATGAATCTATACTATTGGTATACTATGGTATACTATTCCACTGCTTTGAAAATTTCCATCTTCAAGTTACTGGCCACTTCCCTTCTATATCAGTTAATAAAATGCAGAATTCTGAGACTGAAATTGGTAAAGTCACAAAGGAGGAGGGATTTCATCTTTACATTTCCCAGTCAACATGGTGATCCATCACTAACCCACCTGACCTTTCTGGATCTCTCACTTTTACTTCAAATCTTGAGTCTTGCTTTCCACTATATACTTCCAGTTTTTTGTCTATTCCCTTCTTACCCTAGTCCAGTCCCTCTTTAAAAGTACCAGAACTTGTAAGTCACTTACTACACTATCACATAAACACAAAATTTGTTTATTTAAGGTTGCTGTGTTCTACTCTAACATTTTCCTCAACTACTGAAAAGCTAGCAAATACACAGGTATGGTCAAACACTTCTGTTTCTCTGCATACACAAATGTGAGTCATATCAACTCTTACCTATTATCCTTCTTCCAGAACACATTGTTAATGTCCAAGGCATCAAATTACCATAGAGCTTTAACTCCATATATATACACATAGGAGGAGGACACATCTTAAAAGTATATGTCCTCTTAAGAGAGGTTTTTGGTTTGATATTTTGGAAGAAAACAAAACAATTTAACATGTCTGTAAACGAGTGGCCTCCTCGCAGGCGCACACACACACACCCCCCCGTGGCCTCAAGGCACCCTGTAAGTGGCCCCTCACCTCAGTTTCCCTCTAGGGTCCTCAGTAACTCCATATACAATTATCTTCAAGTCCATCAATATAGTTTATTAACCAAAACATAGTGCAAATAGTCCATAATCAAAATTCCCAAAACATAATCCATCTCTCTCTCTCGCTATCTTACACGCACGCATGTAGTCTTTAAAACCCAGCTTCGTTCTCAGCATACCTGGACTCTAAGTTCTTCTCTGTCCCACTGCCGGGGCAGCCATCCCAGCTCTTCTTTCTGAGGAGCAACCCGGCTCTTTGCACAGGAACTCCCACAGTCTCTCTGCTGGGAGCATCATTGCTAGGGAAGCATCCCTCGCGCCCCCTGGCCCTCTCATGGTTCTTCTGGGGGTCAGCTGTCCAGCAGGGAGACATCAGCAGGTAAGCCCATGTACTGTTGCCCCTTGATTCAGGCCTCTCTGGCCCTTGATTCCAGCTTAGAGCTAGCAGGTCTCTCCCTCTGTTCCTGCTCCTGCCCTCAGCCCTCTGGCTCTCTATCTTGGGGACACCAACCAGCAAACTCCTCTTGCTGCTCTCCTGCTTTCAGCCGTCTCCCAGGAACCACCTTCTCTCTCTCTCTGACAGTTTTGATCTTCTGCTCTTCCTGACTGAACCAGTCTTCTCTGACTCAATAAATTGCTTTCTCACCAGGCCTATTATAGCCCCCTGGGTGCTGCCATGACATCTCATTTGGCCCGACTGAGAGCACCTGGACTGGAACAGGGGGACTGAGAGCAGTTTCACTGAATGGGCCAGCTACCCTGTTACAGTCCCCTTGTGGAAAACTACCATACAGCCTTAAGGCCAACATACATACAAGGAGGACACATTAAAAGTATGAACACTAAACATTTCTTAGGAAAAAAAAAAGAATTTTACCAAGTGTGTCCATCTTCTATGAATGTTGGAGTTAAACAAAGGTTGATTTTTGCATCAATTTCCCTAAAAAAAACTGCATACATTAAAGATGAGAAATAAAAAACAAATAATCCCGTGGTTTACAAAGAATGACAGTTTAGTGATGGCTGCAGTGAATGTTCAACTATAGAGAAGTGCTCACCCTGAATGCAGCTGTTGCAACCTGCACATCTGTTGTTTCGGCAAAAGATATAGGACGCTGCCTATCAAAGAATTAATCATCATTTATCACTGTGATTTCAAATGGGTGATTCTGAAATTGCTGACAACATAGCTGTAAAATGGCCCATTAGAATTTTAAAAATGTGCTACTGTGTAAATACAGCTCACTGCCTAGCAAATAATGTTATCAGAGTTAATTCAGCACATTGAAACTGGATTAGCTCAAAACAGTTGTGGGGAAAAAAATCACCCAAATTACAAAAGCAAAAAATATAAAATCAGTATTTGTATAAACTACAGAAATTCAGTTATATACCTTAGAAGTTTTATATTGAAAGTGTCCATGTATTCTTTGTAAAATGGTTCTGAAAAAAAGGATGGCACACTTGGGTGAAACATCACATATTTTAAACAAAGTCAAATGTCAGAAAATTCAGAGCCTTCATTCCCTCTCTATTGTGATTTTTTCTAAAATAAATAATGTAGAAGATACTTCCTTTCTCTCCTCTGTTAAACACAAATATCTGACTCAACTGTAACTATTGCTTTACCATCCTCCCATAATATGACTCGTACTATTTTTATGTCTTGTTCCTCCCTTTTCCTTTGTTATCTTTCTTCTCTATCTATATTTGTCTGCAGTCTCCATGAATGGAAGCTTTTTTTCTTTAAAAATAAATATATATTTATGGTACTGTATAGTAATGGTTACTTAGTTCGGGACTATTGCACTGGGCTGGCTGATACCTGAGCCTTTTACAGGACTATTCTTTGTAACATCCTCTTGATAAGGGGGCATTTTTCATACTCATCTTATCATTCCTACCTACTTCACTTTAGATAAAGATCTTATGGTTCAACTGTACAGTCGACAGGAAAAAAGTGGTGGGTCCACATGACAAATGCATATATAGCTAGGAAATTGAGCAGTGCTCGCTGTAAGATTTGAAGGCTTTCCAGAAATCTTCATTTCCAGGGCTTCTTGTACCTTCAAGGCAATAAATATACCTAATTCCATAGTGAGAAAACTCTACCTATAGACAAAACTACTCAGATGACTTAACTGACCTGATTGCAAATTAATAGACAGGTATTGACTGAGGTTTAGTTTTTTAAATCTTAGATCATAATCCATGAAAACTAATTCTCTATTTACACATTTGTACAATTTGTCCAGCATATTGATTCTGGCTCCAATCTTGTATGTGTCAGAAAAAAAGATATTGGAGTAAATTAATAATTTTAAAAATAATAAATCATCAGCCTGAGATGGTATCCATCCATGACTTCAGAAGCATCTGAAGCATGAAGTGGCTGATTTGCTAGCAAAAATATGCAAACTCATTAAAAACACATACAGTTTCAAAGGATTGGAAGGCAGTAAATGTACCTGTATTTAAAAAAAAAAAAAAAGTCTCTAAGTGGTGATATGGGGAATTAGAGATTGTCACAATTCAGGGCAATTGCACCTGTATTTCTCCTCAGTGGTCCAGCAAGGGCACCCACTGTCATGCTTTCAGCTCCTCAGCCATTGTCTTTTTGGGCCGAGAACCATGTCTCACTCCCTTCGGGACAGTTCCCTGCTTTCATTCTGTTAGTCCCAGCAAAAACAGTCTGCTTAAACAGACCTGCCTGCCTTCTCTCTTCAAAGACGATTAAAGGGTGTAATTGCTATAGTTATACGGTACCACATAACACTTCCTATGCAAGCTGACTTTATTCTTAAGGTAAAAAATATTACAGGCAAAACATATTAAAAACAAAAGAACATACACACATGCTAGTAAGCTAACCAGAGTCCACCCCAATCCTAACATGGATTCTGGCAGGTGCAGCCCTCCAAGCCCCAACCCCAGAGGATTCCTTGTGGTTATAAATTCATCACCGCTTCAGTTTAGAACAAGCACGCTCATGACAAGTTTAGCCATCTCACTGTTTACCCCTTTTTCCAGATAAAACTTGCAGACGATACAAAATTACTCAAGATAGTTAAGTCCAAAGCTGACTGCAAAGAGTTGCAAAGGGATCTCACAAAACTGGATGACAGGGCATCAAAATGGTAGATGAAATTCAGTGTTGATAAATGTGAAGTACTGCACATTGGACAATATAATCCCAGCTACACAGACAAAATGATGAGGGTGTAAATTAGCTGCTACCACTCAAGAAAGATCTTGGAGTCATTGTAGATAGTTCTCTGAAAACGCCTGCTCAGGGTGCAGCAGCAGTGGAAAAAAAGCTAGCAATGTTAGGAACCATTAGGCAATGGATAGATAATGAGACTGTAAAAATCATAATGCCACTATATTAATCCATGGTACACCCACACCTTGAATACCGCATGCAGTTCTGTTGCCCAATCTCAAAAAAGAGATATTAGAATTAGGAAAAGCACAGAGAAGGACAACAAAAGTGATGCGTATGGAACAACTTCTATGTGAGGAGAGATTGAAAAGACTGGGATTGTTCAATTTAAAAAAAGAGATGACTTGGGGATATGATAGAGTTCTATAAAATCATGAATGGTGTGGAAAAAGTGAATAAGGAAGTGTTATTTACCTGTTCGCATAACACAAGAAATGGGGTCACCCAATGAAATTAATAGGAGGCATGTTTAAAACAAACATAAGGAAGTTCTTCTTCAAGCAACTCACACTCCACCTGTGGAACTTGCTGCCAGGGGATGTTGTGAAGGCAAAAAGTATAACTGGGTTCAAAAAAGAATTAGATAAATTAGTGGAGGAAAGATCCATCAATAACTATTAGCTAGGATGGTCAGGGACACAATCCCATTGTCTCGGTGTACCTAAACCTCTGACTGCCAGAAGATGGGACTGGACGACCGGGGATGGATCACTCGATAAATTGCTCTGTTCTGTTCATTCCCTCTGAAGCATCTGGCACCAGCCAATGTCAGAAGACTGGGCAAGGTGGACCATTGGTCTGACCCTGTATGGCCATTCTTATGTTTTAGAAATGTAGATTCATAGATTTTAAGGCCAGAAGAGAACATTATGATAATCAAGTCTGATCTCCTGTATAATATAGACCATACAACTTCTCAGTTTTGTGGGACATCTGAACTGAAATGAATTTCACCCTTTGTGACTTTGGGGAGAAAAAAAAAGTTACTACTAACAGTAGCAACACAACTTCTTCGTGAAGTACTTCAATAATTTTGATTATCAATACTATGCATATTTTGTTTACATGTGAAATTTGTTTTGTGTATGACAGGTTGGATCTGGTCCAGAGAGTCTCAGAAAGAGATAGAAAAAGAAAAAAAAGAATATTACAGAAGACTAACATCTGTACAAAGAGATCTTGAATCAAAATATCGTGACATAATCACAGAAAATCGTCGCACAGTCGCTCACTTGGAGTTGGAGCTTGAAAAGGAACACAACAGAACCCTGAGTTATCGTGAAGCCCTAATCTCCCAGAGTCGCAAATTAGTAGAAGAAAGAAGAGTTCTAGAACAGGAACGTGACAAGTTAGAGCAAGAAAAACAGGTTCTGCGGCGCTCAGGGGCAGCAGGTGCCTTGTACCAAAGTTGTCTTGCAAAGGAAGCACAATGGCAAAAGAGAGCTAATATTGTAATAAAAGAATTTGAAGAAGCACTTTTAGAAAGACAAGATATCTACTGCAGTTTTGTGCTGCCCAGAAACCAGCGACTAGAAATAGAGAAAAATTTGCTAGTTAGAGCAGCAACTGATCCTGTTGCTATGGATATAGAAATGGAAAATGGTTTAAAAGATATTTTTAAATATGATACATATTGTGGTAATGTGCTGAACACAAACAAACGTCAAAATGGAAGACTAATGTGGCTTTATCTCAGATATTGGGAACTAACTGTTGAATTAAAAAAGTTCAAGAGAGTAGAGAAGGCCCTGTTGGAAAAATGATGTGTGGGGAAAGTAGTGGCATTTCATGCACTATGGCACATGTAGTATATAATGACTCACTGGTATTGTAAAGCTGCTAATTTCCTGTAGTACATTCATCTATTTTTCCCCTCCTCATTGCAACCACATTTGCAGTACTCCCATCCTTGAGAGTGTCTCCACTGTTGGTGCCTTTCCATTGATGGGCCAACCACAAATGCTCACTAAGCAGTGCAGTTTACCCTGAGACTATGTCAACTGAAAGACACGCTTTGTGTTCACAGCCAGGCTAGTAGAGAATGCTCCCAATTCCTGATTTCCTGCATGGCAGTGCAACAGCATCTTTTTGTGCAACAAAACTCTCAGGAAAGTACTCGGAAGTGACGGTAATAGTGAGATTTCTTGTTATATTATTTAGGTGTGAGATGCTTTGTACCAATGAAAAAAGTGTGCAATCATGTTTTCAAATTAGATTTGCATTGTTTTCCATGCTTGATGTGCAAATGTCACTTTACGCTACATTATACATAAAAATATTTGCTTGAAATACAAAGACAGGATGCTATTTAAAATAATACAGAAGGAAAATAAAAACAAAGACTTTGATGCTTACTGACGTTAATGATAATGAGGGCATGATTGATCTTAAATCAGGATTACATATGAGTTATAATCTAAAAGTTGCCACTTAAAGGGAATTCATACAATGGGAAAGTAAAACATTTAATCACTTATTTTTCCTTTCAGGTCTAGGTTACCAGTTTGGATTTTGCCCACATTGGTATTGCTGAAGGCCCTATTGCATTGACTGATTGATCTCTAATGGGTTGATTATTTTAAGCCCATCTCTATTAGACAGATATCCACATCATAAAAGCCATCGTCACACGCAGCAGAGATTTCAAGGATTGATTGGATGTAGAGACTAAGCAACTCTCTTATCCTTATAAGTAGTCCCTCCAGAGCAAGTGTGGGATTATATTACCTTGGCTCATGCACAGTGAGGAGTTGGGCAGGGAGCAAAACCATCTCCTGGACTGATTTTGGGGAAGTAACTGAGCAAAAGAAATTCTCATGGAATTTTCTTCCTCGACTTCCCTCATCTGGGTATTTCAGTCATGGGGTAATCAGCCCAGGATTCTGACCTCACTGTAGAATTAAACAGAAGAAATTACTTATTCACAGACAAATAAAAATAACAGCAAAGGACTGCAGAAAATAAAATATAAAGGCTTTCGTTTTTCAAGTCTGCCCTGTTTAAAGTGCCTCTTGAAATGTTTGTTCTCCTGCAAAAGGAGAAAACATTAATCACTTACATAAAAAGCAAAAGGAAAATGGATATACAGTAACTGAGAAGTAAAGTAACTGTGTTTAAATTGATTGTGTAGATGTGTTTATATCATTGTCAATTTCTATTAAATATTGTTTACATTGCAGCAAGATGAGCAGTAACTGATTTATTTCAGAATTAATTTTATTGATCTCTAGCACTAATACATTATAGCATAATGTCTAACATTAGGTAGAAAATGAAATATGCTAAAGTGACAAACTTGGGCTAAATTTGACTCAAAATAAAGGTTGTATAACAACTGTCATTTACAGAAACTAAGACCAACAGAAGCATATCTATGGATATTTTCCAAATGCCAATGGCTCTGTCTATCTTATAACTGCACCACTATAATAGCTGGCTGCCTCCCAAGGAATAGAGAAAATACAAAAGACTAATGCACTATACCAGGGTTTCCTTTGTACTTCCCCTGAGGTACTCAGGCAGTGGGTTTTTCATTTGTGTTTTAACTTGATTTGATTTTCTCCTATGGATTAACAACATTGTGCTACTTCATAAGAACCTGAAAGTTAAACTACTAAAATCCAGATTGGAAGTGATTTGGGCCTCAGTCCTACATCAGGACCCACTATCCCAGACCCTTGCATCCACACAGAGTACCACTGGCACAGGCTGAGGGATCCATTCTAGTAGATCTCCATGTAGGACAGGGCCCAGGTCTTTTATGTCAAATCTGAGATAAATACAAAGATAAAAAATGAGCACCCATTTCTGTTTTGATAGACTGCCATTTGTTTGGTTTGAATTAAGACACAATCCACACCCTGCGGAGTTTAAAATTAAGTTAAAGAGTGAAAAGTAATTAAAAAAAAATTCTTTGTGTTTTAATAATAGAAGATGTTATTTGTAACTTAAGTAAGGATATCAGTTTTCAATATTTTTATCCTGTCAATGACCCTTTTATTAATTGTAGGTACCGCTCCTCTTAAGGTTAAAAGTAATTCTATTTTGATAAAAATGAAAAATATATACCCAATACACACACTAAAGCTTTGTAAATTTGTATTACCTCTTTGAAAAAGGCCAAAATGTTTATCATCTTGGTTTACATTTTTCTATAGTTTTATCACTGATACCAACTCAAAAACATTTATGAAGAGGACAGAGCTGAGAGGGCAAAACATTTTTCAGTTTATATTAGTATTTAAATTGTGTCAGTGTTTGGTTTATTCCCAATACACTGATTACCTCACAACATTGTATCAAAATGCCAGTTAGTAAAGTAAAGCTATTTTTGTAAATATAAGATTCTTCAAAGTTACATTTGTTTAACATTAGGTTAGTTAATGAAGGCAGGACAGTGGCTCAGAGGGGAAGTCCAAAAGCACAATAGATTTAGGAGCACAAGTCCCACTGACTTTTAATGGGACTTGTGCTCCTAAATGTCTTAGGCACTTTTTTAACTCATTCACTCACTCTCTCTCTCGCAATAGATACGGTTGTGTTGGAAGTTCCACTGTAAGCTTTATTTTGTCCCTCGCACTTCAAATTTTGATCTGGGGAAGTAATTGGCAATTTGATCCCTGCCACTAGATGACATCAGCTGGCATGAAAAAGAAACACTTCAGCCAGTCAGTTAGTGTATTTGTTACATAAGGCCACTTGCCTTCCACCATGCTTCCTCAAACAGCCCATTCCCCTCCTCCACACACCCTGGCTCCCTTCATGCAATCTCCAATACTCCTGACTCGTTCCTATGGATCCCCACATCACCCCAACCCACCCCCAGTATTCAGAGACTCCTTGGGGGGCCCCCATTCCCTCTGTGAGCCTAGTTAATGTCAGACTCAGTGAGCCAAAATAGTCTAATTGGGAACTGACAAGCCTACTAAGCCTCTTTGGGGTGGCGGAGAGGGCTGCCAAATACTCTGTCTTCCTTGGCTCTCACCGTGTCCCATCCCACACAAAGTGCCCACTGCCTTTCAGCTCAGTCACACTCCTCACACTATACCAATTCCTCTGTCTTGCCCTGTCCCCTCTCTGCCTGCCCCACAATGCCTCCTAACACCTTTCCTCTCTCATGCAACCTAACTAGACTGAACAGATCCTCTGAGCCTTCACTCCTAGGCTTTCAGCTGTCCGTAGCTCCAGCACCACTCCATCACTTCCTCAATATTCTGACAATTTCATAATAGTAGCTAAACAAAGAGAAACTGTGAGAATAACACTGGTCTACAATTTTTGAGAAGTCGTCTGCTTCAGAGATAAAATGTGCTATTATGTATTTTGATGTGCTGAATTCAAATATGACAATTAAAACAACTGATTGGCTACTGTTTCTAAGATATTTAAGTTTTTACATTTTATGTCTATGTATATTGTGTAGATAGTAGAGTTTTAATCATAAATTGTAAACCTAGGTCTTTTCATGTGTTTATGGTTGCTTTACATGATAATATTTCACCTGTCCTGTTTATGTAACACTTTAAAAATCAGCAAAAGGGTTATATAAATAAAATGTATTATGAAACAAAAGGCAAAAAACTATTATGTACATAGTTTAGTCCTATTCAGTGTCTACTCGGCGCTTCTTGGCTTGTCTCTTGTATTCATTAAATGGAGCATCTCTTGTCACTGTCCAGCAATAGTCTGCAAGCATTGATGGGCTCCATTTGCCCTGATAGCGTTTCTCCATTGTTGCAATGTCCTAGTGAAATCGCTCGCCGTGCACGTCGCTCACTGCTCCGCAGTTCGGTGGAAAAAAATCTAGATGAGAGTGCAAAAAATGTATCTTTAGTGACATGTTGCAACCAAGGCTTTTGTATGCCTTGAGGAGGTTTTCCACCAACAACCTGTAGTTGTCTGCCTTGTTGTTTCCGAGAAAATTTATTGCCACTAACTGGAAGGCTTTCCATGCCATCTTTTCCTTGCCACGCAGTGCATGGTCAAATGCATCATCTCGAAGAAGTTCACGAATCTGAGGACCAACAAAGACACTTTCCTTTATCTTAGCTTCACTTAACCTTGGAAATTTTCCACGGAGGTACTTGAAAGCTGCTTGTGTTTTGTCAATGGCCTTGACAAAGTTCTTCATCAGACCCAGCTTGATGTGTAAGGGTGGTAACAAAATCTTCCTTGATTCAACAAGTGGTGGATGCTGAACACTTTTCCTCCCAGGCTCCAATGACTGTCGGAGTGGCCAATCTTTCTTGATGTAGTGGGACTCTCTTGCACGACTATCCCATTCGCAGAGAAAACAGCAGTACTTTGTGTATCCAGTCTGCAGACCAAGCAAGAGAGCAACAACCTTCAAATCGCCACAAAGCTGCCGCTGATGTTGGTCATAGTTTATGCACCTCAAAAGTTGTTTCATGTTGTCATAGGTTTCCTTCATATGGACTGCATGACCCACTGGAATTGATGGCAAAACATTGCCTTTATGCAGTAAAACAGCTTTAAGACTCATCTTCGATGAATCAATGAACAGTCTCCACTCACCTGGATCGTGAACGATGTTGAGGGCTGCCATTACACCATCGATGTTGTTGCAGGCTACAAGATCACCTTCCATGAAGAAGAATGGGACAAGATCCTTTTGACGGTCACGGAACATGGAAACCCTAACATCACCTGCCAGGAGATTCCACTGCTGTAGTCTGGAGCCCAACAGCTCTGCCTTACTCTTGGGTAGTTCCAAATCCCTGACAAGGTCATTCAGTTCACCTTGTGTTATGAGGTGTTCAGAGGAGGAGGATGGGAGAAAATGTGGGTCCTGTGACATTGATGGTTCAGGACCAGAAGTTTCATCTTCTTCCTCTTCCTCGTCTGACTCAAGTGAGAATGATTCTGGTGCATCAGGAACCGGCAGTCCTTCTCCGTGGGGTACTGGGCGTATAGCTGATGGAATGTTTGGATAATACACAGTCCACTTTTTCTTCTTTGACACACCTTTCCCAACTGGAGGCACCATGCAGAAGTAACAATTGCTGGTATGAGCTGTTGGCTCTCTCCAAATCATTGGCACTGCAAAAGGCATAGATTTCCTTTTCCTGTTCAACCACTGGCGAAGATTTGTTGCACAAGTGTTGCAGCATATGTGTGGGGCCCACCTCTTGTCCTGATCTCCAATTTTGCAGCCAAAATAAAGGCGATAGGCTTTCTTAACCATAGTGGCTATACTGCGCTTTTGTGATGCAAAAGTCACTTCACCACAAACATAGCAGAAGTTATCTGCACTGTTCACATAAGTACGAGACATCTCTGCTCACTTTGGCTAAACAGAAATGTGTCCCTTTGCAAAATCAAACACTGACAAATAAGAGAGCACGACACTATGATTTCTAGAGCTGATATAGGGCAATTTGTTCAGCAGAGTGATGTAAGCTTTGTTATGATTGCATCATCCATGACTTCTAGGAATAACATGATGCAATTCATATCATGTATGACGCAATACCAGCTTCAGATTGCATCATTCATTGTTTTGCCTAAAAAGCAAGTACTGTCCAAACCCAGTCATAGATTTATTCATAGATACAGTCAAAGATGTATTTTAGTCATTTCTGGTTTAAATTGAGATCCCTTCCCTTTATAACTCACTTATCCTCCGCCATTCCCAAGTCAAGGGTCGTATATACTGACCCAATAGCATATCTTGAAAACTAGAGCCAATCAACAATTTTAAGCATAATTTTCGTTCTCAGTGACCCAGAATTAGTAAAGTTTGACTACATTTATTTCAGAAGCATTTTGGCTGTAGAGCAGTGTAATGTATTCATCTGGAAATATCCCAAAGTGCTTTACAAAGTATGTATGACATCTAGAGTTTTTCTTCTGCAAAAGTGAGAAATTTAAGAGACAATTCTCTTCACAATACATCTTTTAAAATTAACTTATCCTGAGTATTTTCAAAAAATACTCCAACTTCCTGCTTTATCCGTAAGAATATATTGGAAAAACGTAATTGACAGTAGGTGTACTTTAGTAGTCAGTGCTCTTAAAGTATGGGCATATTTTCAATAGCTTGTGCAAGTTCCATTGTTACTGGTATTAACCACTGATATCTCTCGCTCATCACTGCATTCAAAAATTTGACAAGTCTCCAATTACTATTCAGTATTCTGTTGCTGATGATGTGCTTGA